TCCTAGATGATACTCTTGAGCCTGAGGACAAGGCCAGCTTCAGATCGTTGCTCAAGTCAACCCTGGATCCACAGTCCTATGTGTCCAGAGCTTGGCTCCCTCATGAGGCTGCCYAGTCTCTTCCCCTGACCTGCCTTCTTATCTCCGACGACCTTCACCCCACCAGAGATCTGAGTGAGTCCTTTGAAGTCACTTCAGAGTCTTCTGYGCCTTCTCCTGCCTGATTCTGAACACGGTCAGCCAAGGGCACATGGGCCCTTCTCCTCTCCTTTTAATCTTCCCTCAAGGTCTGAGTATCCTTGTCAATGGCCTCATGCAGACCTGCTTCCGTTGCCTTTGTTCATCCAGGGTAGCCAACCCTTTAAAGGGAAATGGACCCACTCTGACCGGGGTCGAGCCAGTGGGTCATGGCCTCGAGAGGTACAAGCATGGAGTGCTAATGGTGGGACTGGGGACATCAGCCTGTGGGCAAGGAAGGATTTGGACACRATGTGCTAGGGGTAGACTGAAGTGCTGGAGGCTGGTGTCCTTTGGAGCCCTGTGGGCAGGGTTGAGGAGGAGAGCCAGGGAAGGGCTGTATACTCTGAGCCAGGGACCGTCCAGCATGACTCACTTTGCAAAGAGCCAGTGCAGAGATGCATGGTGCAAGGTGGGTGCCAAGGGTAGAGGGCAGCACAGTTGGGTGGGCACATGCGTCTGCAGACTGCACCCGCTCAGCTTCCTTCCCCACCAGTCCCTTCAGTTGGGGGTTCCCCAGTTGAAAACACCCTGGAGCAGGGTAGCACTGTAAAGGAAGAAGAATGGCTGCCTGCTGGAGCTCAGTGGAAACCATTCAACAACCAGATCCAGAGCAAATGCCCTGGGCGAGGAGCCATGTATGACATGGATGGGGAACACCTGGACTTGTGCCTCTGCTGCGGACCTGTGTCACTGGGGAGTGTAAAACGAACAATCAATGGAAATCCGGCAGAATGGACTAAAGCTAAACATGAATCTGCCCCACCGCTKAGCGTTGCCACTCCTGGGGAAACGAGTGCTCATGTCCACCAAAGACACATACAAGAACGTTCCTAGCAGTGCCGGCCTAACAGCCCCCAAATGGAAACCCCAGTGTCCGTCAGCAGGAGAACACACAGACAGACTGCAGGGTGTCTGAACAATGAAATGCTGCTCAGAAATAGCAAAAAACAAACTATAGCTACAGGCCAAACAGGAGAGAGCTCAGAAACATGRTGCTGAGTGGAAGAAGCTAGACACAAGCAGCGCTTTCTGTGTGATGCCATTTACACCAAGTTCAAGAATAGGCGGTCACCTTTGGAGCAGGGGTACTGACTGGGAAGGGCCATGAGGAAACTTCTGGGGCCCTGGAAATATTCTGCATTTTGACCTGCACATGTACAAATTCATGGGACTCAAGGTAAAGTTACATCTAAAAAAAAAAAAGATTCAAAGTTTAGAGCCCAGTTGCTCCTGCTCCCAACCCACCCACTTAAGCCCCAGGTCTTGCCCTCGGAAGAGCATCGTGTCCACCTGAGAATGACCTTCCATTCTTGATGCTGGTGGCTGTACTAAAGGGCAGAGTGAGAGTTTCTTGAATCAGAGGATGATGTGGTCTTGTGATGCTTCCTTGTTCATGGACTTTTGGAAATGGGGCGCAATTTGGTCTAGAACTTATTCCCATGGAAATGTACAAAGTTGTTGGGACAGAGATGTGTTGCAACCGTYTGATTTCCAATGCTATGGAGACTTCCGGTATTTTAACAAAATGAAGGAAAACAAAAACAGGCAGTGTCTGGGGTGTATAGTTTTAGTAGAAGGCCAGTGAGGAGGAGGCGTGTGTGGGAAGAGGAGGCCGGGAGGCTCGCATCCTAGTCATACGGAGAACGGGGCCGCTGATTTCTCAGCCACCAAGTACAAGAAACTAAAACACATGCTCACCAAGAGAAAACAAGAGACTCTCAGGAATCATGTTAAAATGGTTATTGCTGAGGATAGTTCTTTCTCTTAGTACTTTCTTTTTTCTGTCCACTCCAATTACCAGCTGAGGCCCTTGAAGGGGAAGGGCAAGCAGGACACCCCAAGTGCCAAGATGGAGCCAGCTCCCTGCTGCTCTGGCCCAGCACACACACACACCTCCCTGGCCCCTGCAGTCATTTAGAAACTTCTACCCCTTGTTTTAAAGAAACTATTCCCTGCTCTTGACTCTGGTAAAGGCCAGATTGGCTGCAGTTGGCAGGACCAGAGATGCGCATGATTGATGCTTGTCCACAGGCATTGATGGAGGCCTGCAGCCCCGGGGCTCATGAAGGCCTCACTGTCCATGTCCCCCTCAGCACCCTCTTGCATAGCCCGGCAGTCAAGACTGAGCCAAGCCAGGTCAGGCAAGCCCTTCTGAGAGGCAAACTCACACTCAAGTGGTAAGGCCAACACAGTGACGGAAGTGGCCAAGCCAACCATGTTTGTTGTTGTTTTTATTTTTTTCTTTTAATATTTTTTTTAGTTGTCAATAGAACTTTTTATTTATTTATTTGTTTGTTTGTTTATTTATTTATTTATTTATTTATTTATTTATATGTGGTGCTGAGAATCAACCCAGGGCCTCACACACGCTAGGCAAGCACTCTACCACTGAGCCACAATCCCAGCCCCCCACCCTCACCACGATTTTTTGGCAAATGCTTTTAGTGATATTTTAATTTTTTGGGTTTTTTTCCGTACCAGGGATTGAACCCAGGGGAGTTTTACCACTGAGCTACATTCCCCAGTGCTTCTTATTTTTTGAGACAGGGTGCTTAGGGTCTCACTAAGTTGCTGAGGCTGGCCTTGAACTTGCAGTCCTCCTGCCCCAGCAGCCCAAGTCCCTGGGGTTATGGGTGTAGGTGTGCACCATCACGCCAGGCTTCATGGTATTTTAAACTTCTTAGAAAAACGGGATTCTCTGTTCCAAGTCAGACCTCCCCTGCTGCATGCTCCAGGTTTAAACACCGTGTTAGACTTTGAGTTCATGAAGTCCAATCACACCATGAACAGAACTTACTAAGGACATGTTTGTTCCCCTGGAAGGCTCCGAGGGGTGGGTCTGTGGAGTAGGTGGTGCTGGGTTCTGGGCTCTGCTCGGGCACCGCCTTTTCTTGCCTTGTGAYGCTGAGCACACCTGGCCAGTCTTCCCCCCATCCCCACCTGTGGGATGATCCCTAGGGCTTGCCAATTCTCCACAGCGACCCCTGGGGACCAGGGCCCTCTGAGGGTGCTGTCTCTATCCTCTCCCTGCCATCTATACACACATGGGACTTTCCTCAAGTCTTTTGTCACCTCCTCTTTCCTTGGCCGTTCTGCTAACTGCCCACCTCCTCGCCATCCATTCCTTTTCTTGAACTCCAGGTCCAACTCCCACTTGCATACTAGAGGTTTTTCTCAGAAGCTCCATAGGCAACAGAATGCACCCTCCAAATCCCCAGGCTCCCTGATCCCCGCAGTTAACCAGCAACCCTGTCTCACACACCTGTTTCTTTTCCTTTCTGATCATCTCTTCCCTGTTCAAGTCCTTAGCGGATGCTGCCACTTCCTGTGTACTGATGCCTTGCCCTGGGGGTCCTCCACTACACCAGTCTCAGAGAGGCTTAGAGATGTTGACTGTCATGCTTGAGGTCACACAGCCAGTGAGTGACAGGGTTTTTAAGCCTGATGGCACTGCCTCACCACCTTATTGGCTTCCAGTCAAAAGGGGTTTTAGTCAGTCACTAGTCAGTATATGCACAATTCYTTCCTTAGCCAGGACAAGTTGCTTCATCTATCTTTAGGTGTGCCTATTAAATCCCACCCACTTGGCCATTTTTCCTTATTTCTAAAGTATTTTATAGGCTTCATAATTTCATTACACTATTTCATAATTCAAAATTCAATTCATAAATAAGGACTTTTTGACAACTTTTCAAGGCTTGAATTGCTTATTTCTTCTGAAAGTTTTCATTATTCTTCAACCAAAAAAGTCTCCCAAACTTCCCCAGGCTTCTGGGAATCTGGTACTGGCCTCGTTCAGAGATTTCTGTGACGTCTTATCATCAGGTTGTGAGAACCTTGAGACCCAGGGTCTTTGCAACACAAGGATCATCAGCACAAAGGAGGAACCTCTTCAGTGTTAAGCTGAACTGACTTTCACACATTAGTAACCTCAATATCAAGAATGTCACAGGCCTGGGTAGAAGATAGTCAGGAGACCCATGTCCTCTGCCACACTAGATAGGCACAGGAGCTGGGCAGGCCCAGAGAGGCGGTGGGATGGAAAAAGCTATTTGAGGCCCAGCAACCAAGCAGCTTGTTCCTGGGAATCCTCCTGCTGCTTCCCTTCTTCTCAATGCCCTTTCCGGAAAGGTGAGGCCACAACCACCAAGAATGGGGAGCATGGTATACAAGAGGCCACTGCAGCCTTGAAATGCTGTGGAGCCCATGGGGCGCTCTGGCCAGATCCTCCTCCCAGGACTCTGCCACCATTCCCTTAGCTCGTGGACCTTGGTCAAGCCTTTCACTCCTGCTGGCCTTGTTCCTTGTTTCTGTGAATTGGGGGCTAGGCAGGTTCAAGGATCCCTTCCAAATCTAAGAAGAGCTGGGCTCTGTATGGTCAGCTGCCCATCTACAGAACAGACCAGCAATAATGGCAAAAGGAGAGAGCGTCTTAAACTCTTGAGGTGCTGTGGGTGTCCGGATGGCCACTCCTCCCACTGAAGAGGAGCAGAGCTCCTACAGGAACATGGCCACAGAGAATCTGAGTATAGGAAGGTGGGCTGGCCCTTCCGTGGCTCCCAGGTGGCACTATCTGGGAGGGAAACAAGGTCAGCAACCATCTTCATGCCTACCCAAAGGTTCAAGAGACAGAGTTGTCTCCAGCCAGGRGCCTGCAACAGCCAGACAACCCTATTCTTAAGGGCTCTGGCCTTCTGAGGAGCAACTGAGTAGGTCTTAGGAAGAGGGGYCCCCACTGACCACATCAAACACAGCAATTGCTGCCCATTAGAACATTTATTTCTCAGAGAGAAAATAAGTTTCCGACAGTCATATTATAGTAGGTAAAATTAACTTTTGTATTCTTTACAGGCATAGATTTTCTCTGTTTATTACCTCTCTTATACCATCTGTTATAAACAATTCTAGAAAGCAAATAAAGTCACTTTCTACAATAAATAGAGCATCATGTGCTTCACAGCAGACGCGACAGAGACACATAGGCCCCATGCCACAGCAGGATCTGAGCCGTTTCGCGTTCTAAAAGAGCATTTTTAAAAATGAGACTCAGAGAGAGACTGAAAGACTCAGAGGTTGAAAAATAGACTAAGAAAAGAAAGTGCTAGGGGAAGAGAGAGACAGACATGGAGTGGGGGAGTGGGGAGAGAGCTCCAAGATCTTACAACACAGGTTTAGACAAAGGTCACAGAGTCCACAGTTGACCAACTACCTGGGGAGAGGGGACGCGTAGGCTCCTTTAAATAAACCACACTGTGTGGCCACACAATGGAGGACTCCAGTAATGGACAGTATAGGCCTGAATAATTTAGAACAGTATTTTACAATTATATACACCATGTCCTTCCCTAGCCATATGCTGAATTGTTTTTTGTTTTTTTGTTTTTATTGTACAAAATCCAAAATCCCATCCTTTATGTTATTGAGTTTAGTTGGTTCCCTTTTAAACTCTGGCTCATGTCCCAAATGTATAAGAAGTCGGTGTGTGGTTGGCTGTATTTTTAAAAAGTTGAGTGTGTACAAATGGCAGTGATCTCCCCAGTGACTTTGTTTTGTCCAAAACTCCCCTATGAAAAATTTAAAACAATTAAAAAGAACGTCAAGTTAAAAATCAACATGGCGGTCAGTGGCCTGCAAGCTGGCCTGCGACTTTGGTGCTTAAGAGGAGGAAAAAAGAAATGTCCAGAGAACAAACATAGAAGCCTCTGAAAGCTGCGTTGGTTTGTCAGTCAGCATTCCCCATTCACAGTTTTGTTTTGTTTTTTCCCTTCCATTTTTTGAGAAGGTGGTGGAGAGGAGATTAAAGAGAAAGAGGGAAGGAGACAGGGGATGAAATTCAAGGGCTATGTTCCCTGGTTTGGGAGGAGGGAGCAGCAGAGCCATGGGGCAGAGCCATGGGGCAGAGTGCAGGCAGGGGGATGTGCGAGGGCAGCGCCATGCTGTCCACGGTGGTGGAGAGCTTTAAGGCTGCAGTTACAGAACAAAAAAGCCCATGAGAGGGGAGGAGGGAGAGGGCACACTCAGCTGATGGGCACCGCTCCATCCCAACTACCCATGGCATCTCAGGGGACAGATGGATACTCTCACAATCAGCCTGGTCTGCTGATAAGGGCCCACTCCAGCCTGGGCCCATGACACAGCAAAGCAGGGAGAGGGCAGGAGGGCCACTTCATCCTGGGGCATGCTCAGATGGCCAGGCTCAGCCCTATTAGCAGCAGCAGAGGTCAGTGGAATGGGGAGGTGTGCTGGTGGGTGGGGTTCTCATGGGTGGGCTGGCCCCTGCCTGGACCCTGAGGGGCCTGGCAGAGACATCCACCCAGCATAGCAGCCGGCCAGGAAGGGAATGAGACTTTAAAGAAAAAGACAAGTTTGGTGATATTTCTGTCAGTTTGGCACAAGAGAGAAAGGAAGGAAAGGAACAGGGAAAGAGGGTGAAGACAAGATAGGTTGAGAATGGGTTGGCGAGGKGTAGAAGGGGAGCTCGGTGGGATTCCCCAAGGGACCCTGGCGCATCCACAGCATCTCTGGGATCAGTGTCAGAACCTCGCCTGCCCTGAGGTGTAGTTAGCTGGGAAGGGGCTGGAGGAGCCAGGCAGCCCCTTGAGAAGGAGCCTAGCACCTCTTGCCTTCTGGGCCAGGTCCATCTCCTTGTTGGGCCCAAGCCCCACAGCTGTTTCTACTTCTAAGTGGTTCTTCAGTGGAATAGCCCTGATGGACCTCAGGTGGGAGTTTTTGGCACACAGCAGGCCCTCCAGGGAAACCATGTTATTGGTCAAAACTGAGGCCTTGCCCTAAGTGAGGACACAGTCCAATCCCTGGCCTGCCATGAGTGGGAACTGCCGGCCATACATCTGGCTGGGCAGAAGAGGCTTCTCTGTGCCCCATGGGACGGAGGCAGGCAAGGCAGCCAGAAGCAAACCCAGCCTCATCCTTACAGGTAGCTGGAGGTGACGAAGGAGTGGGGTCCCCGGACTCGGCTCAGGTGGATCATTGCACGGTCATAGGCCACCTGCACTGACTTGCGGATGCTGGTCTTGCGGCCTTCCAGCATCTTGAGCTTGTCCACAGTATCTTCTACACCCAAGGGAAGAACTTTGTCCCTTGGAAGCCACTGCCTGAAATACAAGCACAGTTAAAAAGCTGGGCTGTGATGAGTCCAGGGGCTCCTCTGGGCCCACTTGCCCAGAACAGGCAAGGCTGGAGAGAGGTTACAGTGCAGAGTAGGTTAGATTGGTACAAATTCATGCAAGAGCCACCAAGAACCAGGTGGGACAGGGCAGCAAGTATGCAGGGGTAGGGAGGAGGGCATAGGATCTGTTTGGCAGCCAGGTCCTTCCCTGGGCCCTCACTCTGCTCTGAGGGTTGTCAGGGCCCTAGAGCCATTAGAGGCCCATCTGCTGTCCCAGAGGGCAGGCTGAGTGACCCTGGAGGACTCTGATCCTCACATGCTTTGGGGAATTAGGGAGTTATGGCTAGGAAATGGAGCTGTGATTAGGAAGTAGAGGCAATGCCAGGAATTTATAGACCTCCTTGGTGTCTACATTGGGTTTATGTGTGTGTGTGTGTGTTATCCCCCTACCCCCAACCCCCATCCCCACTTCCCTAGTTGGATCTAATGTGTGGGTGAGAGCACAGCCTTCAGATCTTGGTTTCTATGTCAATTCTGGTCAAGGTGTCTTTTATTTTTTGGTACTAGGTATTGAACCCAGGGCACTTAACCACTGAGCCACATCCCCAGGTTTTTTTTGTATTTTATTTAGAGATAGGTCTCACTGAGTTTGCTTAGTGCTTAGCTTTTGCTAAGGCTTGTTTTGAACTCAYGATCCTCCTGCCTCAGCCTCCTAAGCCACGGGATTACAGGTGTGTGCCACAGCGCTCAGCATCCCCTGTCTTTTTTATATTTTATTTAGAGACAGGGTCTCGCCAAGTTGCTTAGGGCATCACTAAGTTGCCGAAACTGGCTTTGAACTTGCAATCTTCCTGCCTCAGCCCCCGGAATCACTGGTATTACAGGTGTGAGACAACATGCCCAGCAGGGGTATTGCCTGAGTCTCAGCCTCCTCATATAAAAAAATGAATTGTGAGGGGACTGGGATTTAAATGAGAATAAACGAGATCATGTTTGTAAAGCAATTAGCATAAGAACATGGAGTAAGCACTCAATAAACAGCAGCTATTGCTATCATTATTTTTACCARCCAGTTCCACCTCCTTGTTCTACAATAGCAGAGGTGACAACACTCTCCTGCTAGTGTTAAGAAGAACCTTAAGGTGTTCATAAACCATGGCAAGTGATTCCCTTGTGGAGGGTTCACATCACCCAGATGTTCTCCAGGACAGAGATGCATGTTCCCACAGCTGCAGGGAGTGCTGGCAGCTGACAGGCTCTCAGCTGAGTCTCTCTCTCCAGGAACCATCCACCAAGGGAGCTGCCTGGCCGAAGGTCATGCCCTCTCCAGGGACAGCTGGCATTCAGGGACAAATTGGCATGAAGGTACAAAGACACAGTGCCAATTCCCAACAGCCCTCCCAAGCTCCTCAGAGGATGAGCTGAGGCCTCCATTTCAAGGTTTTTGCACTTTGACTTCTTCCTCTGCCCAATGCTGTGCCCCTCACCCCACAGCTCTCTGTATAGTCTGCCTCCTAATGCAAAGCTTCACCTCGGAGTGCTTCCCAGAGAGTCCCATCTGTGACCCCCTCAGTTACTACTAATGCTAGTTAGTTATCATTAACACAGCAATGCAGGATAGCTGCTGGTAGGTAACGCCTCTCCCTTCACCTGATGGCCCCAAGTGGTGCCATCACTCACCAGGTGCGCTTGTTGTCAAAGAAGAGGACAAGGAAGAGCTTCTCTCCAGCCTCTGCCTGTTTCTGCTCTCCCAGCTTCAGCACGTCCAGTGGGGGGACAGGGATGGGGACACCATTGTGCAGGAGGCCCTCCCGGGGCATCTTGGGATCGATGATCTGGAGGCAGAAAGGAAAATGGGCACTCAGTGGGGGAGGATAGGCTGAACAGGAACCCCTGGTGCAGGACCAGTTGCCAAAACACCCTATAACTAAGCCATGCAAGGGCTCAGCTCTGCCCACAACTGAGGAATGGAGAGGCCGGTGTCATCCATGACCTGCAACACTTCAAAACAGAAACCATGACTCTGTCTAATCCTCCAGCTCTGCCCAATCAATCCTGATGACAGAACTTGTTTTATGGACTATCAGGCCTTGGAGCTTAAATAAGAAATGGGAAGTTCATGCAGGGATGGTACTGAAYGGGGTATCTTTAAATGTCCTGACCAGATAGGTAAACCCCTTCTTCCCAATGTCCTTTACAAAGTAAGATCAGAGGTCATTTCCCCCCTCAATTTCCCTTTAGAACCTTTGCAATTCACCTCAAATGCTCAAGGGAATTGCCTAGCACCATGGCTACCAAAAAGGCTCAGTATCAGCAAGTAGGACATCCTTTCAGTTCTATGGAAAAAAACCTGGCCACCCAACATCTTTTTTTTTTGCAGTTCTGGGGATTGAACCCAGGGCATTATGCATGCAAGGCAAGCACTCTACCAACTGAGCTCTATCCCTAGCCCACCCAATACCTTCTTGCCCAACTATAACCCCTCCTGAGGTAAGGGTCAGATACACATCATACTTCCACGATAAAATCAGAAGAGGTTCAGTGTACAGGTAGAAGACTGAGCTTGGAGGGTCAGTGGAGAAGGGAGAATGAGATTGTTGGAAACAAGGACCACTGGAGGAACTAATCCTTGAGGCAGAAGCACCAGAGGTGCAGGGGCTGGGCCTGCCTCGTTYGGGTTTGTTTCCAGCACCTAGCACCCCTGGCCTAACTCAGAGCAGGTGCACAGCAAAATGCCCRGCAGCATCAACAAAACAATAATTTTCTAGGCCTACGAAGCACTCTCAAAGTTTCCAAAGCTTCTAATTATTTACACATCATCTCATTTCAATCTCTTGCTGATGCTGGGAAGTCTGAAAAGTGTTACCTGACAGACAAAAGACCAAGCAAGTAGATGTAGTTGGTTGAAGCCACGGCTGGGACGACAACCAGATACCTGGACAAGGCCTGGGCCTCTGCTGCCAGCAGCCTCCTGCACAGCCCGTTTCCAGAGGAGTGGGCTGATAGTCTCTGCGCACAAAGGCCAGAGAGACTTGGAAACTTATTGAGGAAGCAGTCTTCTCTAGAGACAGAGTAATCTTAATTCCTATACCATGTCCCAGGGGCCTCTTCTTCATAATAAATTGCTCTCATTATTTACCTTTGGGTGTCTGCCAACTTCCCCACATCCCTCTCAAGATAAGCAGCTGAAAGCAGGTGCTCTGTTTAAGAGTTTACTCCAAGGAAGAACCACCTCTACCCCACCCGCCAGCTGTGTAATTTGGTCAAAAGTCTACATCCCTGCATGAGTCCCTTCTGGAACTGAAGCTAAGGGTTCTAATAAGAACAACTACACAAGCCCTTCTAAGCTTCCTCAATTACCAAAGGAGGCAGTGSGGCTACTATGGCATGCTGGTTCCTGAGAATAGATTGTGAAAAACTTTTTGAGGGCAAAAGCAAAGTAGGTAAGCCTGCCATCTGAGAATAGCTTTTATGTCCCAAAATAATAAATAATGGTCCATTCACTCATGAATGCTATACAGATGTAAAACAAGATGGAAACAAAGCTTGTGATAAAATTTAACATTATACAATAAAGTGTACCTTCTCTATTATCACAACTACAATAAGTAAACAACAAATAAAAGTATATAAAATATTTAAGAGCAACATGTTAGAATGGTGGGGTTTATGTTGCTTTTTTTCTGTTTTCCCAAAACTTCTACATTTTAGCACACACACACAAAAAAAACATTTGTATAAAAGACAAGGAATTAAAATAAGATTAAAGTACAATATAATATGCAAATATGTACTGAAATGTGCACAGGAAAAAAACTGGGAAAGCATGCACCAAAATAAAAACACAGGTTGTGTTCAGGTGGTGGCTGAATTTCTTTTTAAAAGACTAGTTTGGGACTAGGTCTTTTGCATGTGAGGCTTAAAACAAAAAACCACYAAACCTGCACAGCCTAAATAAATCATTTCCTTAATGACTTAAGCTGGGAGTGGGGGGGGGGGTCCTACAGTCTCACAGCTGGCAGGGCCCTAGCCTTGTGAAATCGGCAGCCCCTGGTCCAATGTCTACAGCTGCGGGACACAGGGTGGATCTTCCCAGCTGCCACTACTAGGAGAGAATGAGGTAGGTAAGGCGGGTTCCCATTATGGCTGCAGCAAACTGTATAACCTCTTTGAGATACAGTCTCCTTATCTGTCCAAACAGGATTGTGTTCCTGCCCTCTTTATCTTAAGATGCTGTTGTTAGGCTCAAAAGAAGCACAGATAGTAAAGGGCTTGGGGAAGCAAAAGTCCAGAGATGTGTGCATATGAGAGACTAGCAGGTGGCTCCCATCCAGGCTACAGAGCACTCAGGAAGTTTTTTAAAAAATTATCCATGCCTCAGTCTGGATTTAAGAGAGTCTAATTTGGCGGTTGTAAGGTGGAGTTGACTCAGTGTATGTGCTGTTTTAAAATCCTCCCCATCCCCAAATGATTCTGACATGGCCCAAAGGTTTAGGATCAGTGGTATCTTCCAGAACCAGGTGGACTTTTCCTCCCCAACTGAGAAAGAGCTCTAAGAAATAAGACTCAAGGCGGTAAAAATGGAATTCTTAGCTACTGTACTATGGAAGAAATGGAAATTTTAGCTACTGTTGGTGGAAATATAAACTGGAACTCATTTTCAGGCAACTTGGGAACTTGTACCAGAATTGTACAGACTCTGCCCCAGGAAGGCATTCCTCAGAATTCATTGTAAAGAAATAACAAGGATACACAGAAAAGTAAAGATACAGTGATCTCTATTGCCAACTGTTTATCATGGTGAAAAATTGGAACAATCTAAATGGCCAACTAGGGACTGATTAAAATATGGTACATGAAAACAACTGAAGATGATGCAGTCATTAAAAGTGATGCTGATGAAGAATGTTTAATGGCATAAGAGCTGCATATTCATAGTATGCTTTTTAAGTGAAAGGGAGGTTAAAAACAGTATGCTTTCATATATATGCATATTTATGCATTTAAAAAAAGGCTGAGTGAGGTATACACCAATTTATCCCTGAATACAGGACTGTGGATGATTTTGAACTCAATGGCTCAGAACAAGGGCTTTGGCATCACACATTTTGATCCCTGGACTCAAATTCCAACACATATGCATAACTAAATAAATAAATGCTATCAAAACCCTAAGAACCCTAATTTCTGTCTGCCTATGCTTAGCCTATTTCATATGCTCCCAGCTGGAAGTCTTACTTGCCTGCCCCATCCAGGCAGGGGTAAAACTCCGCTCCCATCTACAGTTAAAGGCACTCTGACTCCCACCACACTCTGCTGGCTTGACCCACTCAGATAAGCCCCCAAGGCAAGGCAACAGGCGGAGGTAGGTGGGTGGTGTCTGGGGCAGACTCACCAAGGCAGGGTAGGAGGGGTAGCCTCGGCACTTGGCCCACACCAGCTCCAGGGGCTCCAGGTCTCCGCGGTCTTCAAAGGGCATCAGGAGGCTTCTGCCTGGGGGTGGGGGAGGGGAGGAGACAGCGCCCGAAGGGGACTTGGAATGGTGCCCCAAAGCCCTGCCTGTGGCCTCCACTTGTCTGGGGCAGCCCAGAAATGAGTCAGCAACATCCCCTCCACCCTTCCTTTACCCTGCCCTTTCCTTAGGAGAAATTCTTAGTGGATCAGGGGTCGGCAAACTAGTTCTACAAACTGCCAAACAGTAAATATCAGGTACTTAAGGGCTACATGGTCTCTGTCCCAAGTATTCAACTCTGCAGTTGTCCAATGAAAGCTACCACAGATGATCTGTGAGTGAATAAGTGTGGCTGTGTACCAATTTTTGTTCTGAACACTGAGATTTGAATTTCAAGTAATTTTCACATTATAAAATATTCTTCTTTTGATTTTCTTCTTAATAGTTTAAAAATGTAAAAACCATTCATAGCTCACAAGCCATATAAAAACAGGCAGAAGACTATAGTTTACCGACCTCTGAACTTGAACCCTAGGATGGTTTTCCCAGGGAATCCTGCTTCATCCCCAGGGTCTCAGGGAGAAGGGCAATACCCCAGCTTGGGCAGAAAGAGCCACATATCACTCTCTGGCCCCGCTAAGTAGGGAGTCCTCATGATGGAAGCTTTGAGGGAAAAAGTATCTGGGAAGGACATTGAAGTAAAACCACTTGCAAAGTGAGTTCTTTTCTGACCAGGCCACACTGGGTCATCCAGGTCACCTGGCTGTACAGCACTCAGCAGAGCCAAGGTAGGTCTGTTTTTATCAGACTTTTCTTTGGGTGTCTGGCCCTAGGCAGGCACCCTATCTCCTCAGCTTACTTCATTCTACACTCAGGCCCCACCTAGCACACATGCACAGGTGCTTCACAAATGCTTCCGAACACCAGAGGAAGCTCTTTCTCTCCCCATATTTACAAACTGGGAACAAGGAGGCGATTGCACTCAACAAAGGAAAAAGGTCCAAAGCTCAAMGTGGCTAATTATATTTCTAAGGAAATACTACACTCTCATTTACAGTTTTAAAAAAAATGTACCCAAATAATGAGGTACTGTTTTGACTCTACTGAATCAACAGTAATAACAATGAAAAGATAAAAGACACTAGTGAAGAGGCAGTGTGAGTGGGAACTGGTGCAGTGATACACTGCTGATACAACTGCAATTCTTTTAGAATGTAATTTGGGGTTATGYCTCAGGAGCCATCAAAAAAGTATATGAACCATCTGCTCCTTGGCTACTTATTCTAAGAAAAATAACTTTAAAGATGAATAAAAGGATTCTGAACAAAAATGTTCACTACATTATATAATGTTAATGTATAATGTATGTTAAAAGTTGGAGATGTCTAACAATAGACCAGTTCATTATAATGCATTGATTATATTCAACACATTTTACAATAAGAGATATATAAAGATTATGTGTCAACATGAAAGAAGTATGGGATAATAGTAAAAAAAATAACAGAAGACAAAAGTGTACATGTTTTGGATTAGCACTTTGTTAAAAACATGCCTAAAATAAACAGAAGGCAACACAGAGAAATGAAGACAATAGTGTTAAGATGATAGAAGTATGAGAGGTCAATTTCCTTTGGCATCATTTTAAGTATGTGGGTTTTAAAAATAAGAATAAAATGTCACCACCAGAAGCATAAAGTGTGCCAGTTCACTCTTGGTTTTGATATTCGATGCTACACAAATTCATCTAGACATGACCCTGCCTTCTGGGTGTTGACAGTCACAGAAAGTAATGAAACACGCGGGCATGCATTCATCAACACACATACCAGAAACTGATGCTAAGGGAAAAGGAAAGGGGCAGAGAAGTGCTGCAGAGACTGCATGGGGATGGACAAGAGTGAGCTCAGAGAATAGCCTGCTCTACCTGCTGCATCTGAGCCCCAGCTCAAGTTTCTCCTCTTGGCCAGGCCCTGCCCTTTAGTCCACTGATCCAAAGAGTAAGACCCATAAAACAACAGAGTTTTGTGAGATTCACACTCTATCACTGATTAATGAGCATAGACAGGCAATATCCATCCAAATTACAAATGCATATTTCCTTCAACCCAACAATTTACTTCTATAGATATATTGCCCTGGATATAAAATGGTCTATACACACATAAGGATACTCAAAATTGATTATAACAAATAAGTGAAAACAATCTACACTTCTACCTTTAGATGGCTAAGCAAATGAAGGCGCTCCATGTATTGGGAACAAGGCAACCAATACAAAGCACAGAGAGATCTCCAAGCWATACTATTAGATGAAAAAGAGAAATGGTTTAGAGGAATATGTATACACTAGCTTCTTTGCTCATTCAAATAGACACACAAATTTTGGCTTGTACATACGTGGATTACCTCTGGAAAGACACAAAAAAAAATGCTAACAGATGTTCCAGGGAGGGGAGCACAGCTGTCATTATATACCCTTTGGCACCTTCTCTCTCTTCTTTGGTACCATGGCATGGCATGCATTATATATACAAATTTAAGATGAAAAAAATGTTTAAAAGCACGAATGGCCTACAAGTAAGGGACATTTCCTTGGCCAGTGTCTGAGAGTTTGGGGAGCTCCAGGACTGGCTGCCTGATTCTGTGCCCCAGTGGTGAAGCTGCCTGAAGAGCTGGCTGCTCAGAAGACCTGCCCCCCACCCACCAGCACTGCCTCGACACCACTCCTCACCTGAACCACTGTAGTCGGTGTCTCCGTTCACACCTTCCAGGAAGGGCACTCGAGACAGGGCTGGCTTCCCACGACTGCGTTTGGGGGGCGTTAGACCACTGCATACAGAGTAAGGAGAGGGGTGAAATGAGCAGTTTAGATGACTAACACACCCACTTCTGCTCTCCTATCTCTGACACAGTGGAGCTGCAGAAGCCCACAGGGAGGAAGTGTTCACAGACAGCTTCGCTAAAGCCCACACTGGTCCACAGCACTCTTCTGACCTCAAAGTTCCCACCAGGTTTTCGGGGACCACTGCTTCTATGTAGAAGGATTGAACACGAACAGAGAGGGCCCTGTCCAGGGACTTTGGATTTCATCCAGAGGACAGGTCACTCTAGTCTCTTGTCAATCCTTCCACAGTCTCAGCAGCTTTGCCATGAGGGAGGGCCACTTCATATCTGCCCAGAATCCCTTGCTGTGTGGTTCACATGCTGCTTCTTTAGAAATCAGTTTATTTTAGAAGTACAAAAATTTGCCTCTTTTCCAAATTTTCTATAATGGACACATCTTACTTCTAGAATTAGAAAAGACATTTTTAAATGGGAAAAAAAAATCTACTTCTTACTTCCAAATGATTTATGTGTGAAGTTTTTCTTGGATAGAGAGAAATTTTTTTWAAAAAACTAAAAAGTAGATTGACTTTTTTTTTTCAAACATGGCTTGTGCAAAGAGGTAAAACATATATCTATATTAGACAAAGACTAGAAGATAATAAGCAAAACTAAGAATAGCAATACCAGAACAATAGTATAATGGAGGCCACCCAGGAGTCAGTATTTTAAATAGCTCCCCATGCAATTCTAATGCACAACCAAGCTGAGAGCCTCTAACAAGAATGATGTGGCAAGGGCTCTTTTTCACCCAAACTTTAAAAAATATTACTGCTATATATTTTTCCAATAAAACAATGCTTAAAAGACAGGTCAACAATCTGCAGAAAAGTATATGATTTRGGAAATCCTGGTGGGAAGAGCAGCAGCCAGGGGTAGAAATGGTTAGAGAGCAGAGAGCTATTTTACTGAACTCTCATGATCTTATACTTTTTATACAATCCTCCTTTGGTACTAGGGATTGAACCAGGGGCACTTTGCCGCAGACCTACATCTCCAGCCCTTTTAACTTTATCCACCTGCCTCAGCCTCCCATAGTAACAAGGTTTTGCTTAACCAAAACCCATGAGGGCTAAAATCCTTTAGTAAACAGTAGTTACACTGGAAGGTTTTTCTTCCTAGTCAAATTAGTATTTTTTTTTTTTTTTTTTTGGTGGGGGGAACCCAGTTCACATTAAGGATTCAGTTCTTACTCACCCTACAAAAATCTATCCATGGGCTTAGAGATTTTAAGGTCTTATACAAATGTTAAGTGCTAATAATTTTATTAGGAAAACCCCTCAAAGTTCATATCCTGAGTCTGGAAAGGCATCTTTAAAYATGACAGGAGAGAGCACAGCAAAGGGGTTAAAATATTAAACTTGGAGCCAGGTTCTCTCTGTTCAAAACCCAGCTCTTCTCCTCATTAGTTGTGCAACCTCAAGTGAGTTATTTAACTTCTCTGAGGTTTGTGTTCCCTGTGTGATGTTATGGGGATTTAATGGTTTAATACACACAAACCACTCATTATAGCACATACCATGAAATGAATAAACAGCAGCTGTAGTTATGTGAAGGGCTGTAAATTTCAATGTCTTATTTAAAAAAGTATTCCAAACTACTAATGTTACACTATGGAATGATGAGCTCTGAGAAGGATGAGCTCAATATAATAGGAYGCAATACTAACATGAGGCCTTGGGTTTCTGATTCCTAGAAACTGCAATGGCCTGCAATGCAGCCCTCTATTAAGAGACCTTCTGGAAGATAAGTCCATGAGAACAGATACCTCATCAGTGTCTAGAACAGGGTCTGGCATACAGTAGGTGTTCAATTATCAATAGGTGAATGAGTGATCTATACAAAGAGGACACAGCCCCAACCTGCTAAGAAAACCACCAGAGAAGATCATCCCAGGGGTGGGGGGGGAAGAGGGAGTCAACGATGGGTTAGTGACCCGTTCTTTCAAGGTTACTTATAGTTCTGGGATGATGTGATTCCAGTCTAATAAGATCTTCTTTTCTGTACTTACTACCATAATGGAGGGAAAAGAAAAAAGAACTGCAGTTGGAGTCCCTCAATCTCCTATTTTAAGCCCGGAAATTCCATTGATAATCACTGAGTTAAAGAGGAAATGCCTTCCAAGAGCACTGCTCCTATATCAAGTCGGTGCCCCAAAGCAATTGGTGACATTGGTCTGGAGTTCCTCCTAGACCAGCAGGCTGAGCTGAGCCTGGCTTGCTTCTCATGACTCATAGCTGGGAAGAATGCTTTCACAAAAGGAGACCAGCACACCTTCCACCTTTAGTCAAGAGCTAGAAGGGAARGTTGGATGACCTTGCTCCTATTCCAACCTCAATGAACTAGGTTTCCAGGCACTTTAACTTTGAAGGAAGCCAGGAACTCCAAACTGGGCCCAGATTAGAAGCACCTTCTAAGATTCTGAACTCTCTGTTTCTGGTATTTCTCCTGGTATTTTATCTACTTCCCTTATCCATTTGGAGACTGCAACAAAGAGGGAGACAACTAGGGCAGTTTTGAGGCACTGTGGGAAGAAAAATCTCAAAGGAACCAAAGTGGGAGACCAGTCTAGCACCAAAGGGTAAGTAGAGGTCCGGATGGTCCTCCCTGGAGCCCAGCAGCCAGGGTAGAGAAGGTACCTATCAAACCATACACAAACCCTGCCTTGGAAGCACTGAAAACAAAGACATGTAGTCTTCAGGTGCCGCCCTGGGACCTTTCCTTCCTTCCTCTCTGAAACTCAGCAGCTGTGGTAAGACCAAGCCATCAGCCTTGAGGACTAGTCATTTTCTTTCTTTCTTTCTTTCCTTCCTTCCTTCCTTCCTTCCTTCCTTCCTTCCTTGTTCCTTCCTTCCTTCCTTCCTTGTTCCTTCCTTCCTTCCTTCCTTCCTTCCTTCCTTCCTTCCTTCCTTTCTTTCTTTCTTTCTTTCTTTCTTTTTTAAATGGACACAATACCTTTATTGTATTTATTTTTATAAACAACCCAGTGCCTCACACGCTCTAGGTAAGCTCTACCACAGAGCCACAACCCCAGCCCCAGAACTAGTCATTTTCTTTAGTGGCACCGAGGTTCTCTCAGTTTCTAAGAGTTTCATTGTTTCTGGGTTTTGCAGAACACAGAACACAGAGCAGAGGTTCAATAAACTCAAACCTCTGAAGAAACTTTTAAGGTTCTGGTCCCAAAAATCCTCCCTTCAGGTTAAAGAATGACAAAAGAGACCCATCCCTTCCCAGCTCAAAGATGACAGATGAACTGGGGCTTTTATTTGAATAAAAAGCAATTTCAAATTTCCTATTTGCTCATTCCTTATTCCATACAGCGCCTCTAAAGAGGTAGTTGCTATGAAACCCCAAGAGGCCTGAGGCAAAACTAAGTCTGTAACAAGTTGGGTTGCCTGGGGGTGTGTGCGCACACATGCGGGTGTGTGAGCACACATGCGAGTGCGCAGGAGTCTGGCTTAAACATTAGCTTCATTGGGCAATAGGAGATTCTGCTGTCCCCATCCTCTGGAGTCCAACTTCAGTCCCACAGACCGCATAAAGCATCAGAACCACACTCTTCTCTTAGAGCACATGGTAGAGTCAAGGATCACCCTATTTCTTAGGAGCACCCCCGCTCTRCCCCACCAAGTTAAAGACTAGAAGCCTCAGAAAGTAGTAGGGGTTAGAATCAAGATAAGAAGTTCAAACCACTACTGAATGGAGAATAAAGGGAGAGGTGGTGGAGCTGCTGACAAAGTTTTGGGGACAAGTGTCCTTACCTGCAAGCTTCAAATGCCAGTCCACCACTGAGACCCAAACTACATTCCGAGTCAGACCCGCTTTCAGTGTGTTTTCCAAAGCCATTGGTCACGCCTGCCAAGGACACACAGAGTGAGCCTGTGAGCACAGAAACTCCCAGCCCCTGACACATGCCACAGCATGAGGCAGCCACCTCGGGAGGGGTCAGTGAGGAGGGTGGAGAGGATGGCTGCCCTTCACTGTGGAAATGGATCTTGGGTGGTAGAGAGAACCTCACAGAAATAAAGGTTTGGGGAGAACACTCTTGGTTTGGGCAATAAGCTGACACTGCATTTTCCTTCTCCTTTAAGGAAAACAGCACACAGTTGACTTCTGCTATGTATCTGAATGACAATCTGAATGACAATTCGGATACAAAGGAAAACACTAAGACTTTCCCATCTTGGCAGGCTCACCCTGGATCTGCTTCTAGTTTCAAACCTCAATTATCAGGGAGTCTCTTCTGTTTCTTGAGGAGCCCACCCGCCTTGCCTCTTTAGATAAACATTCACACCCTGCACATCACACAGCTGGCAACAGCTTGCTTCATTCTGTGGACATGATGTCAGGAGGGGCTGAGGCAGGATAAGAGCTCCGTGCCAACGGCCCCTGAGATATCTAGCAGAGATATCAGGATTAAGAATGGGAGACTTTCCAGGAGATCTACAGCAGCCCAGATATTGCCAAGACAGGGAGTCAGAACTCGGGGTTCTAGACTGGGCTCTAAAATATTGGGTCCCTTTTCCTTGTTAAGCCTTGGCCTTTCCTTTCGTGAAGATAATGCCTTCTTACTTGTAGAAGATGCTACTCAGCAAGATATAGGGGTCTGTTTACTGCAAGGAGCCTTCAGAAGCAGATGAGGATTGGCTGGTCATCTCAGGGGCATGATCTTGCTGTGAAGGCTTCCACTCTATCTATCCAATTTCTAACCACATTCCGGAGTCCTGCAACTGACAGCTGGATCCAGATAGGCAAGGAGGTGAGCCAGGCACCTGATTTGGGAGGTGTAACAGACACCTTGGCCAGAAAAACTGTGAGGCAAGTCACATCTGTAAGAGCAGGTATCTGAGCCAAGATGTCTGTACCCTGACCTGATCTTGCCTCTAACATTAGGACCTCAATTTAAATCATCGAATCCAGCTGTGCCTCAGGTGCCTCACTTGTAAAAGATCAATACCTGTTGTTATGAAATTCAACTAAGGTTGAACACATAAGTATCCCTGGGTTTCAGGCCACCCGGAATCTTGGGACTGAAATGTATTTTCTCAGTATCTCCAGGCAGGGGGCCTCATCAGATTGGATGGTGCCAATGTCCAGACCTATTCCCAAGAGCAAGAGGTTTCATTTTTAGTGTACAATGTTCTCAGTGCTATTTGGCAGAGCCAGAAAGAGCAAAAAGATGACAATAACTGCTCTCAACTACTGTGTATATTAAGTGCTTTACACAGCCTATTTCCAATCCTGAGAGTCTTCCAAGATAAGTATCCTAGCTCCATATCAGAAAGAAGGAAACAGTTCAGAGAGGTTAGTTTCCCCAGGTTACACATCTGTAAGAAGCTGGAATATGAACTCAGGTACACCTGACTCTGCTCTTGCCCCTACATACAACGTTCTTCCCCAACACAGGGAAACTTAGGACAGATAGGAAGAAAAAGTAATGTTGGAAACAAAATGTTAGGTTGGAAGGGAGAAAAGCAAGTGCTGGTTACACATTTCAAAGCCATCACATAAAAGAACATGAGAGCGACACAGGAACAAAAGACAAGAGCAGCCCCTCCCTGCCAGCAAGCTAGCCTTCACTATCCAAGACTAAACTACTTTGCCCAGCATTCCTGATCCTCCATGTCTAGGCCTACCTTACTCAAGTAGGCTCCCCCTAACTGTCCCTCTCCTTATTTCCACACACCTGGGCCTAAGCCCTTCACCCCCATGTATTCGTTTCCATCCTACCCTCACCCCTTAGGGCCAGCTCAGATACCACCAGACTGGGAAGCCTTCCTAACTCTTTCACCTCCAATTACAACAGCTCTGGTGGTGCCACCTGTCACCCTACACTTAACCACATACTGTTGGGTTCTGTGATTTCTCTGCACCTTGGGAGACTACTTTGTTTCCCTACTGAACTGTAAATTCTTCCAGAGCTGGGACTGAGTGAATCAGCTTATTATCCCCACAGGGACCAGTTCATTCTGGACATGTAATAAGAACTTCTCAGTGATCTAGCCTCACAGCCTACCTCTGGGACCTCATCTCCTCCACCAACCTCTGCTGCAGCCACACTGGTTCCCTTGCTGTTCCTCAGACATGCAAGCATGTTCCCACCTCCAGGGCCAGTGCAGCTGCTAGTCTCTCTTTTGGGAATATTACTCCTCTGGATACACAAACAGCTCTTGCCTCAACTCCTTCAGATCTTTACTCAAATGTCACTTCCTCAGAAGATCTCCCTGGCCATCCTTTAAAATACCACTCGCATTCCCTATCCCCCTTCCCTGCTGGGTTTTTCTTCAAAATTTCTAATACAGGATACCTCATTTTTTTTTTGATTGATTTCCCTTATAAAAGAGGAGATTTTTATCTGTTTTGTTCACTGATTTTTTTCCCAGTCCCTAAGATAGTGCCTGATATAAATATCTGATGAACAAACTAAAATGAAGATAAAAACTACATTAGCATACACAAGCCTACATCCCCTCAGGGGCAAGAAAAGCTCAAACATAACTTGGCTGTCTGAAATGCCACTCAAAGCCTGTTTCCCTGGGTTGCTACTCATGTTGGTCCCACTGTGAGCTTAGAGCCCTCCATGCTACTAATAGCATGCAGAGGCCTAAGGGAGATAGCCACTAGGGAAGGTGCTGGCTGGCAAGGTAAAGCAGAAAAGCAGCGAGAGAAGTCTCAGGCAGGGTCACCTGTCTCTTCCTCCTGCTGCGGGGACCTCTCCCCTTCGCTTTCACTACAGCTCCTGCTCCTTGGCCGCTTCCGGGAATGGTGCTCCTCTTCAGTGCTGGCTGGAGAGTCAGGAGAGCCCGCCAGACCATGATCCTCACCATTCTCTGGAGCCCGGTCTGGGCTCCTCTGTAACTTAGTCCCATTCTTGGCCTTCTTGAAGAGGACTGATGTGCGGCGACCCACACCACTTAGAGGGGTACCAGCAGGGGTGTCAGGAGCCATGACAGACAGTCTGTTGATGCCATTGTCACTGAGCAAGTGATGCAAGGGCTCACTCCCTAGCTGTAGAGATGATTTTTCCAAGAGCTCATCTTCTTCCACCTTTTTGGGCTTTGGGAATCGGCTTGGAGGTTTACTATCATTGATGGGTTTCAGAGTGGGGGGATCTGGGGGAGATTCTTGCTCAGACAAGGAAGGTGCAGGCCCAGTAGGCTCCAGGGTTGGTGGGGGAGGCAGTTTGGAGTCATCTGTTAGAGAAAAAGGGAACCTGCTTGAACATTTTAGAATGAGTCTGACCCTACAAGCCAGATACTGACACTGAAAACCAGGAACCAAAGGTATGGGRCTGGCAAATGTAGAAAGTTTCTTAAAAATTCCAATGCTCAGGTCCCACCCCAGAGCAACTAAACCCAAATCTCTAAAAAATGTTTTTTTGTTTTTTTTTTAAAGCTTAACAGGTGAGTCTAAGAAGTGAGGGTTACAAACTGTTACTCTACAYCTGAGAAAGCCACATGCATAGTCAATACTTAGGTTAAGTCCCAGCTTGGCAGATCAGAGGTCTAAAATTCAAGTGTTTTCTGTCTGTCACTGATTTCCTTTCATATCACCCAAGTTAGATCAAGTAGAGCAGGCGGCAAGAATGAGTTTATGGATGTGGAAAATGAGAGCAAGTAAATCAAATCAGTGCCTCCCAAACATGTCTACTCACCACCTTGCATCTTTTAAAAATTGAGACTTTCAAGTCACAGCCCAGACTTCCCTGTCTGAACCTCTAGAAAGTGAGGCTGGGAATTTGTTTTTGTCTTTTAAACCCTAGGAGATGCTGTAGCATCTGGTCTAGGGCGCATGACATTGCCCTGCCAGAGTCCAGAGTGGGATTCAATGGCATGCACRCGCCACACAGGGAGTTGGTAAGAGTCACATTGAACATTGAACCCTCTAATGCCAAATGTGACCTTTCAGCCATCTTCCCATTCTCTGCCAACTTAAAATAAAATGGGCCACTCCCTCTGATTTGGGCCCCTATTTATTGGAGATAAGTCCCAGTCTTTTGGACAGTGTGGGTAAAAGGCCCTCCCAAGCCCTAGGCTAAGATCCCAGGGCAGGTGTAAGAGAGACAATTCTATCCTCAGAGAAGGGGAAGGATTGGGAGCAACTTAGCTTATAAAGCTCCGAAGTTTCTGAGAATTACTTCCCCAGCTGCCTTTTATAGCCAGATGCCTCTGCTTGGGAGGGGCCTGCAGACCTGACTCAAGAGCCCAAGCCATATGTAGGGTCATTCCTGCTCTGCTATCTCTCCTCATACCCTCCTAACCTGCTTGAAGACTTTCTCTTCATGGTGGAAGAATCTAGGCTGATATTTAGCTGAAATGCACAATATAGTCATATCAAGTGCAAAATATTGTGATATTTATCATTTTAGGTTAGTCAATAGCTACTGCTCCAACACCTGAAACTCCTAACTAAACCTCCCCCAAATCAAGCAACTAACCATCCACATCCAGGGCCCCCAGGAGCCCAGTCCAAAACAAAAGCCTACATCTASTATGACAGATAAATTTTGGTCTCTACAGGTTATTATATTTTGAATATCATCCCCTGAACATGATATGGAAGGGTGATTCCTCCATGGGCTTCTGCTTGCTCAGAGGGTCAGACCTGACCTGAAATTTCCAAAAAAATTCAGCTTAGATTATGCCCGTCCCATCCCTCTCACCCAACACACCAGCACCCTGCCTGCCTGTGACTCACTCTCACCTCTGTCCCCATCGTCTTCTGGCTCCTCTTGCAGGGCCTGCTCCAACACAGCTGTATCCCCCGGGGGCCCTGCTGACAGCTCCCCATTGGACATTGTCTTGTTCAATGATGGCAGCTGTGGTGGTGGTGGTGGTTGTGCCAGCTTCTGCCGAAGGGCATTGATCTCCCGGCGCAGCAGGCGGACACGGCGGGTGCGGGCTCCACTGGATCGCATGGCACTCACCAGATCCAATTTCTCCAGCAGCTCCTTCAGCTGCACCTCTGGAGACAAATGGGCCCGGTTCTCCGGGACGAGGATGTTGTCCACTGCCAGGGAGAAGAAAGAACAGAAGGGGCTGAAGGACCGGCCCAGCCCAGGACAAGGGAAAGGGGCTGAATCCCTCAGATGTGAAATGCTCTCCTGTAATGCCTGGGCCAGTGGCTTCCAGCAACATCACTGCCCAAAGGCAGCCATGGGGATAAGGTCAGAATGTGGGAAATATCTGCAGGATACAGTCCCAATATGGGCTCTGTGGAGCAGGCACGAGGCAGCTTGGCAATGCCCTGGCCTGAGTGACTGTTTGGCTATTGCCATCAAGCAGCAGAGAGCAGGGGCAGGTGGAGTTGGAGGCTCAGCGGCAACGCTGTCTTTCTGGTCCCCCACCTGCACTGAATAATCCCCCCACACAGCAGCACTGTGCTGCCCTGTCCCATGCTCCAGTGCCACACAGAGGTGATCCAGGAGAGGAAGACTCCTGTGAAGCTTCTCAAGCAGACAGCAACACCTGATTTCCCTTTTCTACCACTCAAAAGGTATTCAGTACACTGGTTAAACTTGACCCTGGGAACTGTTCTATCCAAAAGCAGGATAGAACATGTACCTACCCCCAACTTTGCTTCTGGAGCCTACACTAGAGCCCCAAGGCCCACACTGACCCCTGGCTCTCTGGGCTCTGTCCCTGTGTTTTTTCCTGGTGCCTTTCCCCCTCACCCATCCAGGCTTCTCACCGTCTTCCCAGGAGAAGCGGTAAAAGTCTTCCAATTTGGGTGATTCAGGCAGATGGGTGCCCCTCTCGGGGTCATAGCCGATGTTCTCTGCCTGCCGACGGGCATGCCGCAGAATGGCCCCTCCCAGGTCCCGCAGGCGGACAGCTGCTCGGTGGAAAATTGTGTCTTTAGCATTATACTTCATGCAGTTGGTAACTATAAGGTTAAAGTCCTCCTCAAACTCCTCCAAGGTGCGGTACAGGTGGGACTCCAGCTTCCGCCTCATAGTAGAAAAATCCATTGGCTTGGATATGAATTCCAGGTAATCTGGAACCTAAACATATAAAACCTGTACAATTACAACAACCATTTACTAGCCAAACAGGCACACCCTTCACCGGCACTCTTTGTCTCCCCAGTTTCTGATTTGGGCATACCAGGGGTTCACTCAGAGCCTTGGAGGCCTGGTCCACCCTGACTTAATGCTGACCCTCACCATAGGCAAGTTTATTGGCTTTGCCAGATCACACCACTCAGAGTAACATAAACCCTTTAGCACAGTGCTACCCACCCAGCCCCCAGTCTAGTTACACCCTATTTCCAAGAGGGGTTTGCTGCTTGGGATGTGACAGGAACTTGCCTCACTCAGGTTGACAGGCTCGGCAAAGATGTGTGCAGGATCCTTTTCCTGCAGCAAGTCCAGTGTGGTCCTCAGCAGCACATTGAATGGCATCAGCTCCAACTCCATGGCAGCTTGCTGGACCTTGACCTGTGTGGAAGGTGAGAAGCAATCAGAACATCCCCTGCAAAAATGCAGTGAAACTTTTTTTTGACAACTTAATTTTCATCAATGATCTACAACAAATTTTCACAGAATATTAAGCTGACCAGTGTATGAGGAGCTATCATCCTAWCTTCAGCCTAGGAATAATGACACGACCAGTGGTATGGTATGAAGGTGTCTCTCAAAAGTTCACATGTTGGAACCTTAATTTCCAGTGCAGGAGTTCTGGGGACATGGGACCTGACTGGAGGTGATTTATATATTACAGGATTCACCCTCATGAATGGACTGAGACTCCATGAGAGTTCTTACAGGAGTGGGTTAGTTTCTGAGAGTGGCTTTGTCATGGAGATGAGTTCTCCCACCTGTGCTCTCACCCCTTTACTTTTCCACCAAGAGATAATGCAGCACAACAGCCCTCACCAGTCCACCCTTGAACTTCCCAGCTTCCAAAATCATGAGCTAGATAATGTATGTGTGATAAACACACACACACACCCCATACATATGTATTTATTTATGTATTTGGTACCAGGGATTGAACTTAGAGGTACTTTATCCTCTGAATTATATCCCCAACTCTTTATTTTGAGACAGAATCTCATTAATCTAATTAAATCTCATTAATTTCATAGGCTGAGGCCTCACTAAGTTGCTGAGGCTGGCCTCAAAATTGTAATCCTCCTGCCTCAGCCTCCTGAGCTGCTGGGATTACAGGTATGTATCACCATGCCTGTTAAACTTTTCATTATAAATTATCTAGTCAGTGTATTCTATTTATAGCAGCAAAGGAAGTAAAATAGCCACCATTTTGTAAATGTTTCCTATGTTTCAAACATCATACCAAAACTAATAATGGTAATAATAATAATTACTACTATTCTAATAGTTTATAATTTTATAACCCATACTAAGTAATAGGAATGCCCTAAACATTTTATAAAATATAAGTGAGTATATGAGGCAGGTAAAGGTTAGATATTTTACAAACAGAAAGCTGAGGCAGAGAGAGGCTACCTGGCCCAAGGTCATACAGCTAATAAGGCTAGAATTAAGATTCAGTACAAGACAGTCTGCTTCTTGACCATTATGCCCCTCTACTTCTCTATTGTATTACCTCTGTTAATCACTATAACTCTGAAAGAGAAATTTTCATCTCTATTTTACAAATATGGAACCTGAGGTTTGGAGAAAGTTGATGGAGTCACAAATCTAAGGTCATCTGACTAAAGAATAGCACAGATGGCATTTTAAAACAGGTCTGACTTAGTCCAAGAAGTACACTGATAAAATTAAATGTGCCTTGGACCAGAATTTTTTACCTAGAGTTGCAGTTATTGATYCCATTAGCACTAAAGTGTCTGGGTTGGACTGGGGTGACCAGGGCCTTCAGGCTCATCTCTCAAGTGGCAAACGACTTCATATATTTAAAGTGGAATGCTGTACAAAATCTTACTTTCTATGTGTACCCTAATGTGAAATGGTTGGGAAGCCCACCTCTTGGCCTCATCAAAACAAGCCGGACTGCTTTACCAGAGCCAGGGTCTCCTTTTCCCTCTCATTTCTCTGACCTGAGGCAGGAAGAAAAGTACAACTATGGGACCAAGCCTGGGATGGCACTTAAAGTCTGAATTCATGGAGAAGATCCTGAGATAGCCTCCATGGTCACTCATGCTAAATATGGTAAGAGCTGCCCAGAAGCATAAGGAGAAACTCAGGTTATTGACCTGCTAGAGAAGAGCTGAACAGTAATATAGGGTTCAGAGAAAGAGAGTAAGGAGCATTTTTAACCCAGGCCTCTGAAGCACATGAGTAACGGCTGCTATTCCTGGACCAGAGAGAACAATTTTGGCTTGTCATCCATTCAATTAATAGTATTTGCTCTCTGCCATGTGCAGAGCCCTACAATAGATACTTTAGCAAGAAAAAGGGTATCAGTAACAACAACTACTGACACTTCTATAGTCCTTACTAGGTAAGCACTGTTCTAAGCTACTTTTTACATATACAAAGTCATCTAACTTCACAAAGACCTTATGATTTAGGCTCTATTATTACCCCCATATCACAGATGAAGAAATGAAGGTATTAAGAGATTAAGTACCTTGCTTAGTGTTACACAGGTAGTAATTAGCAGAGCCAGGATTTAAACCCAATCTAGTGTCACAGCCCATGTTCCTAAACCCCTGTGCTATATCACCTACCTCACCATGCTCAGGGGAATAGAATTTCCTAGAATTGAGGTTGGGAAATTTAAATGATTCAAGACCATAGTGTTTAAGGGCCAAGTGAGAACTTCTCCTCAGCAACTCCCAGGCCAAAGGTTTTCAGTAATAACCATTAGAATGGCCTAAGAAGCTCTTCAAAATATCCAAGGTAGGCTTCCCACTGAAACATCTGAATCAGAAACTCTAGGTATGCACTCTGGCATGTGATATGAAACTTATGCTTGAAGCCACAAAGAGTTGAACCTCAAAACATAGAAGCCATCAGCAGCTCTATACCAAATACAGAGCAGGTAGATCTTGGAGCCCATACAGCTAGGCAGGAAAGGAAGCAAGGGGTCTCCTAGTGCCACACTAAGATTGGGAGAAAGGGACCTCAACAAAGCGCCCCACGGCTGGGGGTTCCTCCTTACCTGCTCCCGCTTGAGCTTTTCTCTCTTCCGAATCAGCTCAACTAGCAGCCGCGCCCGCTCCAAGTCATGCCGCAGCTTCTGCCAATATTTCAGCTCTTCCTTCACTGCACTTGTCTTTTCGTCATGTTCTCGCTGTAGGAAGCAAGAGGAGGAGCTGGGGGCCTTCTTCCTCTCCATAGTTCTCTCCCTATTCAAGCCCCACAGGCTTCAGGAGATAGCAGAACCTCACCCGAGAGCCTCCACTTCACCACTCTTGCCCTGTGCCTTCCTCCCATCCTTCCCTGGCCTTATAACAAGATTCTCCATTAATAGCACAATAACCACTGCTGGGACTGCTTCTCCTAGTCCCTCAGGGATACCCGAGATCAGTTAGGACCCTCAGGGCTAGAAAGAATTTCAGAAGAAAACTAACAGACACCTTAGGGGTGGAAAGAATCTCACCCTAGAGCTTCAATTTGGCTAGAAAACAAAGTCAAGTTCTTACTATTTGCYTGTACTAAGTGGCTTGAACAAAAAATCTGTCAATTCTGTCCTAGAAGAGATGATAGTTGTTGGGGGAAGGAAAAGACCCAGTGTTTAAAACCAAAGCGCATAAGAGCATAAAGACAATAAAAACTGATAATGTAAAACTGCACATAAAATGCGGACAAGACAGAAAGTAGAGAGGTGGGRGTTAGATAGGGAAAAGTTCCCTTGGGAGTATCCTGCAAGAGCTTTTGCGTACAATAGTAGACATAGATAGGCTAAGCAGTAAGGAAGGTCTCTTCTGGAACTGACAGGACCAGAGGGACAGAAATGTAGAGGTAGAATTAATGATTCTGTGTTTAGTTGAGTAAAATGGGCTGGCCAGAGTAGAGTAGCTGGAGAACCACAAAAGCCATAGAACCCAGGATCTAGCTGACAAGAAGCCTCAAATGCCAGGGTAAAGAACCTGGACTTAGCCTCCTTGGAGAGGGAGAGTATATTCTGGAAAAGGAAGTGATAGAATGGAAAAACAGTATATATGACCCCACGAGTCATAGAGCAAAGAATTAGAGGCTGGAGACACCTACAAAACTATTGTTGAAAAGAAAACTATTGCTGAGACTGAGGGGGCATGGATAGGCAAGGTAGCATAAAATAAAGACAAAGGACTAAACTGATAAATCCCCCTAATAGCTTAAAGAATGATTAATTCTGACTCATTATAGGGGAAAAGTCAAAAGTAACTCTAAGGTGGAGAATTGAGAATTGGAGAATATGAAGTCAGGAGGAGGAAGAGTTCCACGGTAAAAATGAGAAAATAAGTTTACTAAAAGGAAGGAAGATAATTCATTCAGGTTCCAGAATCTGAGTTACAGTAACTACCTACACATGGAAGGATCCCAAAGGGACTGAGGACAGAAAAAAGGGATGAGAACAGAAAAAAATCTGAAGATACTGACACAACAGTTATTTTCAATTATTTTTACTTGGACTTGCTCTCTAAGTAAATAAGCAGGCAGCAGAGGGAATATTACTGTTAAAGACTTAAAAAAGGGATCAGCAAAAGGTACAATCAGAGGGGTAGAAGAGATGGGAAATGATATCACGGAAAAGCTTAGACACAAAGACCCAAAAAGAAATGCATCTTGAGGCTGGGGTTGTGGCTCAGTGGTAAGAGGGCTTGCCTAACATGTGTGAGGCACTGGCTTCGATTCTAAGCACCACAAACAAATAAATAAAATAAAGGTCCCTCAATAACTAAACAAAAAATTTTTTTACAAAAAGAAAAGAAAAGAGAGAAATGCATCTTGATGGGCAGTATGGTGGGAATTTAAGGAAAGACTTGCTGGAGGAGGTCACTGACGTAAGGGAGAATTCAGGGAAGCAAATGGTCCAGAAGGCTCAAGAGGAACCAGACATAGGTTTGTACTTCAGGAACTTAGTTACAAAAGGCAAACTAAGATCAAACAGAATGCACTAGTAAAGGGAAGGTTTCTTTCTTTTCTGGAACAACACTGTGGGATGATTTAAAGGCAAAAGTAATGAAGGATGTAAAGGCAAAAGTAATGAAGGATGTAAAGAGGGAGAGAAAACAGAAGATGTAAATACTGGAAGGAAAATCAGGAGCAAAAAAAAAAAAAACATAAAATATGGAGCAACTATAGTTGTTAACGGCTAAAGGCCACCACAATTGGGTGAGCTGTGCACTATAATAAGATCATAAGTTTTTTTTATTTACTATGACACATTTTTTGGCAGATGGCAGTATACTGTCTTGAGAAAAGGGCGCCTTTTTCTAATTCACACAATGCAGCCACCCTGGCTCTTCTTCCTTTCTGTCCCATCTGGAGGGTTTCCCCACTATAGGGAAAGTGGAGCTGGCCCTACACTCTCCCCTAGAATTTGCTCCTAAGTCAAGCCTCTACCATCCAGAAAGGGCTGCTGTTAGGTCTGAAGATATCTGTAGTGCTAGAGGTTATTTCCAGGACAGACTACCCAACAGGGTGACCACCTGTATAAAAGGCTCCACAGAGAACTCAGGGATAGGTGCCAGCCCCTCCTCTCAAATCTTCACTTCTCCTTCAGGCTCAACCTCCCTCCACCAGCCTCCAATCAGCACCTACCTGTTCAGCGTTTCTTTGGGATTGTAAGTGAGAGTGCAGGCGCCGGATAAGGGGGACACCATTCCGTGCCTGCCGCTTCAACAGCCAGTAGTTGTGAAGCCGCTGCATGAACTGGTTTTTCCTCTGAAAGGAGAGACCACTACAGATCTTGTTCAACCTTGAGTAGAGGCACAGAGAAGTGAAAGATAGGGTCAGAGGGCAGCCCAGATTATAGCCCACACATCCTATCCAGAACCCGGTTCATTTCTGAGAGGAARACAGAATAAAATAGCCAAATGCCTCACCTCAGAGAAAGCCTTGAAAAAGATAGCAAAGTTAAGCAGCTCAGATTCAGCAAGAGGTACTTTACTTGCTTTTCCACCTCCTGTGTCGCAGCCTTGATCCTCCAAAAGAACCTATTTCCTGTGATCCTGGACCCCTTCATTCTAAGTACTATTTGAGAAATGGGCCTGTACACTAAAACCTCCACCCTCCTATTACCAAAGGCAGCAAAAGAAATAGGAACTTAAATAAGCTATGGGCAATGTGGTCACTATTACTGCCTCATGTGGCTGAGGATCCCAGCTCACAATCAAGTAGGAAGAAAAAAACAGTAGGAATACATCAGGTTACTGCTTTCTGAGCCCAAATGCAACCCTTTAAGAGTTGTTTGATCTCTGATTTTCATTTTTTAAAATCAACAGCCTAAAAATGTCTAATTTTGAGCCAAATGGAGAAAAAAATGGATCTAAAGGTGTAAGATGGAGGACCTGAGGGAAAACCTAGCTAAATTACCCAAAAGAGAAGTCTTAAGGTCAGGGGTTAGGCCAGTAACACCTGGGGTGGAAGGAACCAGTAAGAACCTAAAATTTCTATGTTAATGCCCACACTGTAGGAGGAGAAACACTATTTACGTCACAAAAGACAGAAAAGCGGCTTAGATATATCAATTGAATAAATGGTCAGTGCAATTGATGCAGTTAATAAGATGGTGGATCTGAGTGAGATCTGAATCTATGATCTCTCTGCTCTACCATGGTGCATTCAAAATTGTTTCTCCACAGGGTAAGTCAGGTCTCAGTGCTCCTGTGTTATTTCTTCTGTTTTGTCTCCTCACCCCACTCCACTGAAAAGAAAATTAGTGTGGTTAATCAAGAAGGCGGAACCTTAGAAGGACAGGCATGTTGGGCAGGACATTGCTTACTTAGGTCTTGTTCATCTTCACAGTCAGACACTCCTGCCCCAAAGCCAAGCTTATAAAATCAAGACCTACACCTTTCCCCAAAGGACAGATCCCCACCAATGCCCATGCCAAGCACACCTGCCCAGATGCAGGCAGCCCCCTCCCTCTACAACCTTTTGGCCATGGGGGGCCCCAACAGCATTTGTGCAAGTAGGGAAAAGAATAATAATAATAAAATAGCAGCAGCAGCAGTGACCAYCATTTATTGAGTACTTACTATTTGCCAGACACTGTGCTAAGTGCTTTACTAATATTACCTCATTTAGTTTTCAGAATTCTATGTGACAGATTCATTTATAAATAAACTAAGACTTAGAGCTGTTAAGCAACATGTCGAGTCATAAGTACTAAGTAACAGAAGGTCTGTCTGGCTCTTAGTGTAGCTGGTGCCTGGGAGAGGCTCTAGAAGAGCAGACATGGCACCCAAAGAATCTAGCCCCAGGGCCTAGTCACACTACAGACGGGGACAAAGCATAGATCTACTTACTTCAGGGAAGAGGTAGCCTAGAACAGCTCTATGCCTAGAATACACCCAGAATCGCTGGAATTCTAACTTGGGCCATAGGTTGCAACAAGAACATCCCTRCCTTGATCTCACTTTTATGTCTTCTTCCTGTCTGCCAAGTCTGGTTAGGCAGATTTGTCCAACCAGAAATGTGAATAGATTTCATACTTTTCATTCCCCACAATCTTCCAGTATTCCTTTCTCCCTAACCTTTTCATGGAGGCGACAGTACTAGCCTCGAGGTATCGTGAGCTACAGCTTGTAGTCCAAATCTGTCACTTTTCACCTGGTCCCATTTCTTAGAACAGGATGTGGCATGTAGTAAGTGCTCAATAAATATATCATTGAATGAATAAAGATGTAAACAACTTTACCTCCCGGGGCCGTGGTTTCTTCATCTGGGGGTATGGGAGAAGGTGCAAGGACTRCATTAGATGAACAATCTCCAACATTCCTTCCTGCTCTAATCCTGTATATTTGCTAATGAATCACCCTTGAGATGAGCCCCTGCTGGAAAATCCTCCTTGTCTCTTGCTTTTCTACCAAGTTCCCACCTAACTGCTTCAACAACTTAACTGATATTTTAAAACAGGCACAATGATTTCTCTACAGCTTCAATGGGGGCCCAGGAGTTTCAGTTACACAGCTAAATTTTCCCCTAAATCTAAAGACTCTGAAAAGAAGGAATAAAACATTCTTCCCACACTGTCACCCCCTCATACAAAGTCCCTGATACACCCAGGACAGAGTTTGTTGTACAGCAGACCTGTCAACCCTTTAGCAGARTGGTTCCAAATTAGGAACACTTCTATTCACCCAGGGGTGTTTGGAAACTCGTGTGAGGTTTTCACAAAGATCAGGCAATTAATTGGATGGGATGAAACGCATTTACCAAGAGCAAGGATGCTAAACATTTAGAAATGTAAGGGACAGTTCTAACAATGAAGAATTATTCTGTCCAAAATGCCAATTAGTGCCCTGCTAAAAAATACTACCTTACATATCCCGTTACCCGAGTTTCTAAGCAACTCAAGTATTTTGCTTTACCTGGAACCAAAGGAAACACATTACTCTGAGGATACAATCAAAACCACAAAACAAGCGGGGTGAGCCAGAATCCAAAGGAGATATTTAAATTTRGGGCATAGAAAAAGACATCCACCAACCATATTTGAGGAAGGCCTGGCCCAAAGCCAAGACCAAACCAAGAAGAAACCATGAATCATTAAAGAGCCCATCTGGGCAGGCTCACCTGTAAGAGGGTATCTGTGGGACAGTGACCATGGGGACAGTGGTGGTGGTCCCCATGGTGGGTGTGTCTCGGCCTGCTTCCTCTGGCTCCTTCTTGAACTTTTGCTTCAAACTCATCTTGTTCTTCTTGGGCACTCCCTTCAGAGGGCCACCCACCCCACTTTGGCCTTCCTGCTCCTCCTCCTCCACTTCTTCCTCTTCTTCTTCCTCCCCACCACCCTCCTTCAGCCCATCCTCGTCCCCAGCCTCACTGAGACTTCTGGGGGAGTCACCCTTCCTCCTGGCAGTGGCAGAACCTGGTGGCGAGTGGGCCTCACAGTAGGCGGTCTTACGCACGGTGAAGATGGTGCCATTGAGGCTGGTTTCTCGCATGGGCTCAATCTTCATGAAGAGCCCAGCCCGCTGTGCACATGTCACATGGAAGGCTGTGTAGCAGTTCACTTTATGGCACTGGATAGCTGCACCCAGCCCCTTCTGCTTACAGATATAGCAGGTGAGTTTCCATCGGGCAGGTGGGATGTTGTCAATGCCCTCGATAGGCTCCAGGAAGACAGTGTTAGCAAAACAGACTTCTGGAATCCAGATGGCACATACTACATGGGCCCAATGCCCATCACTGGTCTGTTTGAAGGCACCACCCTTGTTGGGGCAGAGGACACAATCCACAGGCCGAGAGGGAGACTGCAGGCAGCAGCGGCATAACCACTGGCCCTCGGGGATATAGGGTACACCATAGCACTCCTGGTGTACGGCCAGGTTACAGATGTCACAGAAGAGAATAACATTGCTATTATGACATTCATCGTCCAGGCATACACAGCAGAAGGCATCTTCATCAATGAGTGACTGTTGGGCCCCACTGCTGCGACTCTCCAAGTATGACTCCTTCTCAAGCCGGTCCACCAGCAGCTCAAAGGTGTCTGCTGACACCAAACTGTGCCCATCTACTCGCCGCTTTTCATTCACCATGTCCAGCCAGGCAAGGTCCTCCTCATCCATGTCATACTCTACCTCTGCATCCAGGTCTTCAGGTGGCTTCTCAATGTAGCGGTAATAGGCAGCAGGCAGTGGGGGTGCTTCAGGCTGGCTGCCTGGATCCACCACACGGAAGCTGGGCTGTGGGAGGTGGAAGGAAGTTCCAGATGCATGCTTAGAGCAGGATTCCTTCTTTTTGCCCTTGGATGAAGTTTTCTTGGACTTGCCTGGGAACTGAGGCTGCTCGCTATTTTCTTTGTTACTATTGCATTCGGTGATATCCTGAGCAGTCAGTTCATCTTCAGTGATGATCTTAAGTGGGTCATAGATGCTGATACGATGCAGGCGTCCATCAATATCCACCTCAACAATACGCTGGGCCTGGGCATATGTTAGGGTCTCCCGGGTGGGTGAGCACTTGAGACTGTAGGGGGAYGGGGAACGCCGGCCCTCGGCATTCTGCCGCGACTTCCGGCGAGGCTTCCTCATGGCACCTAGGAACCAAGGAGACTGGCCTAAGGAGAGAAGACCAGGAGACTGTGAGCTGGATATTCATGCATGTATGTATCCTATCCACTCAACCTTCCATCCAATCAAGTGGCCACTGGGAGGACTAGCTGTTCCCTTAGTCTGAACAGTCTGCCCCTGAGGCATCCACAGGGCTTCACTCCTTCAGGCCTTTCAACAAACAGCATTTCTCAGTGAGACCTTCTCATTACTCTGTACACCACTGCAAATACCTTTTCTCCACCAGCTATGGACCTTTTATCCTGCTTTATTTTCTCTTATAACACACTTCATCTTCTACCATGCAATGTAATTTACCTATATATAATATTTATTATTTGCTTCCTTCTGCTAAAATGTAAGTTCCAAAGGGTTGGGAATTTATGCCTGTCTTCACTGCTATATCCCCAGTGCCTGGAGTGATGCCCACCTCCTAAGTAATTCTTCAATCAGTATTAGGCGAATGTATTCAGTGAACGAAAGGAGAAATGATCCCTGTCTTCAAGGTGCTATGTCTGAAGGGAAGGGAAAGAAAACAGATCCTTACAATATGACACATGGAAAGAGCTAATGTTCAAATGGTCTATGTAAGGTTGTGGGACACTAACTGTGAAAAAAGAGAGGGTGCTTAAGACTTCAGAAAGAGAAAACAGGATGGCCACAGTGGTACACATTGGTAGTCTCAGCTACCTGCAAGACTTAGGTGGAAGGATCACGTGAGTCCAAGAGTTTAAGGCCAGCTGGACAACATTGCAAGATCCTGTCTCAAAGAAAATAAACAAGAACAGCATCCATTTTTGAGCTCTATACCTGAACACTACGCCCCATTAGTGGACTGAAAACTCACAGGTCTAGAGCCCTCTCCCAATCCATCTTACCATAATCAAAAGCCCTCTCTGGGCAGGGGTTGTGGCTCAGCAGTAAAGCACTCCCCTAGCATGGGCGAGGCCGTGGGTTCAATCCTCAGCATCACATAAAAATAAAATAAAATAAAGGTATTGTGTCCAACTACAACTAAAAAATAAATATTTTTTAAAAAGCCCTATCTCCCCCCCCCCAACTTTTTTAAGTGGTACTGGGGATTGAACCCAGGGCTTCACACATATTAGACAAGCACCCTACATCTAAGGTGCATCCCTAGTCCTTTTTAATTTTATTTTGAGACAGGATCTAAGTTGCCCGGGACTTGCAGTCTCCCTTCCTCAGCCTCCTAAGCAGCTGAGATTAATGGGCATGTGCCTGCATGCCCAGCTCCAGAAGCCCTGTCTCTTGTGTCCAGGGTGAAGGCATCTAAAATGCTTATCACATGTGGTCAAAGGCTTCAAACTACAGTATGCAGGGCATTTCCTGCAAATAGAAGCATCCAGGATAATTGGCTAGTAATATATTTCCAAGCAGAAACCCTGCAAGTTCTGGGAGTAGCACCAAAATATTTTTACAGTTGTAAGTGTCCTGTGTGGGTTCCTCAGTGGAACCAAGACCAAGGTGACTGGGACAATTATCTGAGGTAAATTCCCAGTACTTTGTTACCTCATACTTACATCTAGTCTACCCTTGTGAAACAAAGAGAAAGCTCTAAAGTTTTCCACAACATTCTCAGGATGGAGGGAACTAGGGTAAGTGGTTATCAAAGCCATTACTACCAGAAAGACTTTGGGGATATGGTGTCCCACAGTATGGGCACAGATTTGGAAAGGTATGAACAGAGAAAGAGCTTTCAAGGGGAAAAACCAATTTCATCATCTTGGTTGCAGCACCAACCATCTTTACAAAGTGGGTGGTGATAATAATTTAACACACTTTTACTAATCACAAAACCCGTTTCCTTTTGGTATTGCTCACAACCACCTTGGATGACATAGAGATAGTATTTTTTTCCATCTTGTGCAGCTCAGAAGGGTGTCACTCAACCCAGAGCCAGTAAGGTGGTCTGGTACAAAAAGAGGTTCTGGGGCAATCGAGGTTCTAATCTTGGCCCTATGGGACTCGGAATAAGTCTTCTAACTCCATACTTCATCAGTAATGAGGCTAATAACATCTACCTCTTAAGGGCTGCTGTTTGTTAATAAAGTATTATCAACATCCTTATTCAAAAGGCCTTCTAATCCCAAAGTGACTGAAACAAACAACCTGCCCAAGGAACGGCAGGCACACACCCCATTTGGAAGCTCAAGGAAACAGAATCATCACAGCAATTCTGTCCAGGTTCCAGATACCCTTGGCCACGAGATTCCTTCCAAATACCAAGTTCCCAGAGGCAGGCCAGGCCAGCAGATGTGCTTCATTACCACCACCACCCCCAAGGCAAGGGAGCCCCTAGGAGAGACAGACCTCTACCTCCATAGTTCACAGAGCCCTCCCTTCAGCAAGCCCTGCACAGTCTTCCCACCTGCCACCTCCTCCGCAGCTCAGCAATCTCTCAACCAACCAGCAAGTATCTATGCAGACCTCTTCTGTCCCACCCAAGCCTCTAGACGCCTGGAGGCAAACCCTACAGGAGGAAGGGCTGCAGCTGAGGAAATCGAAATGAGCTTCGCCCACAAGGCGCTGACAGTCGCGTTTTTTTGGCGGGAGTTTTTCAACCTACACAGCTCTTTCCACATACATACCTATAAAATACCCCCCAACATCTCCCCGAGATGTTCTCAGCAGCCCCTGGTCCCCAACTCGCCCACCCCACCCAGATCCCCCACAGAACCAGGAGTTTCTGCAATTAGACGGAATCTCCTGCACTCTACACAAGACACTCCTGAGACGAGGGGAGACCCCAGTCGAGGCTACTGCCCCTTTAAGGGACGCCTCTTTCAGAAGAATCTTGACCCCTCAGAGAAGAATAAAGGAGGGAAATAACATCTCCTCCCCAGAGGGGAGAGAGAGGGCTAGGGCATCAGAGACATACTGAYGCGGAGTCCGACCCTCAGAGAAAGCGAGCGCCAGCGAACTAGCGGGGCAGAGAGCCGAGCGCCTATTGGCCGCCTGACCTGCCCGTCAGGGGGAACTGGAGGGCCAAGGGAAGCACAGGGGGCGGAATTCTCCTCTGGTCTGGCCAATTGGAGAGCGTGGCGGAGGCGGGGCTTGGCAGCTTGGCTTCTAGGGCCGGGGGGAGACAAGATGGCGGGTGCGGGAGGGGGTCCTTGCTTTTCAGCTCCCCCACTCGCCCGCCTTCTCCTTCTCCGCCGCCGCCCTCGCTCCAAGGGAGAGCTTTCGCGCCGCCCCCGCCCCGCTTGGGAAGCCTCCCGCTCCCCGGTTTCCACCCCCCGCGAAGTCCCTGGTCCCCGTAGGCCCTGCTGCTCCCGCCCCCGCTCCGTCCGGCCCCGCTGCCGCCCCCATTACCTCAGCCGCCGGCCCGGCCCCACCGTTCGGGGCCCCTGGGCGCGGGCGGGACGGCTGCCGAGCAGGTCGGCGCGGCCCTGGGAGCGGAGCGCGGCCTCCTCCCGCGCCAGCCTCCGCGGCCTCCGCCGTGCCCCCTCCCGGCGCGCGCTGGGGCCCCGGCCCGGCCGCCGCCACTGCCGCCGCTCCCGGGGGAGGAGGGGGAATGGAGCCGCCGCCGCCGCCGCTGCCGCCACGGAGCCCGGCCGAGGGGAGGGAGGGATCAGCCCCCAGGCAGGATCCGCCCCTCCGGCCTCCCCCCGCCACCTCCACCCCTTCCCTCGCTCCCTCCCTGGCTCCGCGGGCTCTCCCGCTGAACAGGAGCGAGAGCGCGAAAGGGGGAAACGGGAAAAAATCCCCCCGCCCGTGCCCGGCGCGGCTGCGGCCGGGGCTGCGCGGCGAGGAGCGCGGAGCCGCCGCCGCCACGGGGCACCGTCCCCAGCTCGGCCTCACGGTGGCGGTGCGGACGCGGCGGGGGCACCGAACAGAAACCGGGTCTGCGCCCGCCGCAGCCCCGACTCACCCCGGCCCTGCCCGCGGCGGGATGAGCCCGTCCGGAGAGCTGGAGACGTTCGGTCTAGTTGGAAAAGACTAGGGTCCCTAACTCTTTAGAGTCGTCTCCCCCCATTATTGCGGGGGAGGTGACCAAGGTTTGGTATAACAAGCCCCCTCCGAACTGAAGGGCTCTACAAAGGTTAASCGAGAGCAATTAATAGAGCTGAAACCGGCCTGTAGTTTATTGGGGTGCAGGTGCCAGTACTAYTCCCAGAAAGTCGCCCCCTCCCCCAGGTCCTAAGGACAAAGGTCTAGCGATGTCCGTCCCCTCCCCCAGTGAGGACAGCCAGGGAAGACCCGCGTCTGTCGTGTGCAGGTGAGCGCCTTRTACCACACAAGACATTCTTTTTAAGAAACAGATCTGACTTTTCGTTATGTGCTATCCTTTCCCTTTTGTATTTAAAAAGAGTAAACATAAAAGTTTTGACAGTCTACTTAGGGACGTCTGGTAACTGGTTTGTCACTGTAGGCATGGGAAACACTTTCTCCTTAAGTCTGAGTTGGCTAGGAATGGGTTAATTTAATATACTAGGGGCTTTCTAAAAGATGCCTGACAAAGAGCAACTTCAAACTCAGATGTAATCAAACTGGCTTTTGATTTGATTTATAAAAAATAAACTTTAAAAGGGCTTTTTTGCCACCTCCTTTTGCATATAAATTGGAAAGCTTACCTTCACATGACTGAAGTCTTAAGCACCAATATTTAATGATGTTTATAAAGGATACATGGATAAGCTGCCTTCAAATGTAAAGATGAATGACATATTTTGAAAGCATCTCATCTTCTCTGACCGAACTGATGTAGCTTTTGAGATTTCACCATTTCTTGCTGGGTTCTGATGATCCAGAACATGGGTTCTAGAGTCAGAAGGATAAAGGATAAAGTCTTAGGATCCAAGTCTTCCAGATGTTTAAATTGGATGTACTGCTGCTTTTGAAGTATGTATATTTATTAGCCTAAGAATTTAGATATAAATCATTTTAAGTTTAAAAGTTTGATTAAAGCAAGGAAGTTAATTTGCATTACAAAGGTGTTTTCTGAGTAGATGGTAGCATCTTTTGGCACAGARTAGTGCAAAAAATACTTCTGTTAACCAATTTTTTAAAAGAAAGAGAAGTGGCTTGTGGTGCTAAGCAAGGGCAGGGCAATGTTTTGAAAGCTGTGAAGATGAAATAGTATGAATTACTGTCAAGTGTTTTAAAGCTAGGGGGAATAATCAACCAGAGAGAAGGTGTGGAAGAAAGATGATTAATTGTGGAAGGGAAGCCCCAGAGGCAAGAGAATATTGCAATTACTTTTAGTTAAGGAAAAAAAAAATCTGAAGACCAACAGGAACAAGAATACTGAATTTCATTTCTTGATCTTTTAAAATACGAAATATAATAACCATTTACACATATGAATAGTGACTTATTTCCTGAAGAAAGTTCTCAAAATTTATATAGCACCATTCCCAATTGTGTGATTGGGAGCTGACTTTTCCCACTAAAATAAATGAATAAATACCTTGAGAAACTGCTATGGTTTACRTTGGTTATAAAATAATGATTTAAACTTTTTTTTAAGTGGTTGAAGGACCTTTATTTTTTATTTATTCATTTATATGTGGTGCTGAGAATCAAACCCAGTGCCTCATGCACGCTAGGGAAGCACTCTACCACTGAGCTACAATCCTAACCCCTGTGATKTAAATGTTGATGAAAATATGTTGTCTACCTAGTTCATGTAATCTCCAGGTTTTTGTGTACAACACTTTTATGTTAAGACCTTATTCACCCCAAGTGTTTCTCTTCCATTTTCAACTTCCACTTTTTTAGTGGTAATATTGCAGTTATTCTTATTTACATTTTTGACATTTGGAATTGGCTTTTGTTAGTGTAACTACGCACATAACTAGTTAACTGTGGTGTAATCTTAAATGTAACATGGAACAATTACATCATTAAAAACAAATTTGGAACATGTATCAAAAATCCCAGAGGCACTACATGTAATTCACTTTAATCTTTAGCTATTTTAAACAGTTTAAATTCACCAGCTCCTGGCCTTTCCATGAAACCATACAACCATTAAGTTCAACCAACAGGGGCATGAGCCTTTGATTCCAAATAGTTGTTTTAAGAAAAAAAGAAATCCTCCGTCTCTAGAAAATAACTTATTTGGGCTAGGAGAATATTTTACATGTAGATCTAAAAAAGGAAACAAATACAAAAAGTCTTCATTTCACACATGTAATTTTTTTTTAAGTGTCTCAGGGTATCTTTTTAATGCTTCAGGGCAGAAAGCCTCTGAAGGGTCAGATGATATACCCACTGGATTAATAAAATATGTATGATAAGAAAAAAATAGGCCTTGACTGATTGTTAAATTATTTTTAATAGAGTGTTCCTTCCTTAGACATTTGGCTAAAAGAATCTGAAACCACAGTTGGGAGGAATGTTGGAGGTTGGAATCATTGTGATATTTTTATGCTGTAATGCAAATGATTTCAGAATATAGTTTGCTTAGAAAAGGGAGAAAGTTTAGCTAAAATAACAACAGGTCTTAAATAGAATACCACACCCTCTAAATTTAAGTCCATTCATTTATTCCTGAAACACATTTTTTTGACCACCTACTGTGTGTTCAACACTAAACAAGTTTCTTTGGAAAATAATGACAAAATCTGAACCTGGAAAGGATGAGTGAGCATATAAAAAGACAGAATATTTTTCTTTGTCTTGAGTAGTGTGCAATCAAGAGGAAAGCCAGAAATAACCAGAAAACATGCAGAAGAAATTAGATATGGCATTGAACAGTGTTAAGCCACCATTATTCAAAGAAGGCTTCTTTAAGGACAGGAAGCTTCTTTTGCTAAGTACTAAGTAGGAATGGATGTAAACTGGTGAACAGTGTAGAATGCATCATTGGGTTGGTGATGGGGCAGTTCAGGCAAAAGRACAATACTCAGAGAAAAATAACAAAATCATCCTAGCTGGTCTGCATGGGCAGATGTTAAAAAAGAAAAGGTTGAACCCATAGTCCCAGCTACTCAGGAGGCTAAGGTAGGAGGATCACTTGAACTCATGAGTTCAAGACCAGCTTGGGCAAAAGGAAAAGAAAAAGAAAGAAAGATTGGATTGGGTATGAGGTGTGACAAAGGTATAGGGAGAAAAGGAGATACCCACTACTTAGTGCAAGTGGTGGAGGTACCCACAACTTTTTTTTTTTTTTAAAAGATAGAGAGAGAGAGAGAAGAGAATTTTACTTTTAATATTTATTTTTTAGTTCTCGCCAGAGGACACAACATCTTTGTTGGTATGTGGTGCTGGGGATCGAACCCGGGTCGCACGAACTCCAGGCGAGTGCGCTACCAGTTGAGCCACATCCCCAGCCCAGTACCCACAACTTTTATTGAAAGTATTTGTGGACCGAGATTAATAAAGGAAATGTATTGACAGGCATAACCATAAGGTCCAGGAATACATCTAACTTTAGGCATCAGGATGCTCTCTTGCAATCTGTCAGCCATCCTGTCCCCATATGTATGGTTAGAAAGACATACTACTCTGGTGAGGTCTGATCATATGCCCACTTCTAGAACTAGAGACATGGGCAGGAGGTGATTCTCCGAAGAGACTTTGGACACATGTACAAAATAGGTCCAATATGCACACCAAATTTTACTTATCAACTTACTAACTCTATGAAACAAATATTATATCCCCATTATGTATAGGGTAAACTGGAGCCAAAAGATCAAATAAACCAAAAAGAATTTATACTAAAGGTAACAAGGCATTATGAAAAGGYATTAACTAGAATGGTAAGAGAGGTGGTAGGAAAAGGAAGAGAACAAATCAGAAGACAAATCAACAACTTGATGACTGACTGAACAAAGGGAAGATCAAGGATGAATCTAAGTTCTAACTTCACAGGATTTTTAAACTGCTGGTAGAATCACTGCAAATCAAGAGGTGGCAAAGGGTTGGTAACTCAGAGCTCCTGCTGGGACTGGGGCCTAAGGATTGAGGAAATTATCAGATCAGCTGAAGTTCTCTGGAGCCTCTTCTGAACACTCTAAAATACATACCCATTCAATAATAAAAAGTATTTGAGCTAATGGTTGGGCTCTATTTTATGTCTATAAGAGCCAAAAGGTGAAAAGGGTATGCTTTCATATGTGAGAAGGCACAATCACAAGAATAAAGCAAATGGAATGTGCCTGGGAGAAATGCAAACGAAGTCAGTTTGGTGGAGAAAGCAAGGTCATCTGGAGAAGAGGGAAGTTTCAGTCTTCCCTTTGAGCCATTTGAGCTTAGGTAGAGCTTCAGTTTAAAAGATAGTTACAGGTTGAGGTTCTGGCTGAGCCACACCATGAGCAAAGAGAAATGTGTGTCCRAGAACAAAATGTCAACAAATCGAGTTTCAAAGATCTAATTGACTTTTGTTAGCAATTTAGAAATAGGCAGCATCTATTCTACAAAATAAAAAGAAGCTCCAATGAACTAGACAGAGTGGGTGAGTTTCATAGGCAGGGGAAAAAAAAAGCTGAGGTAAAGCTAGAACAATGAGTGGAACAATGATGAGTACCTTCCTTATTGGAATGTCAACAAAATCTGGTTGGCTTAAT